TTTTCTTAACATTTAAGGATCCCAATTTCTTAGCATGCAGCAGGTGCATATCGTTACGAAGCAGATGAACTAGCCTGTTAATATTGATACTAGGGGTGCAGACCTTTTTTAAACGTTCACACCCATATTGTCAATATTAGCAGTCTAGTTAATCGGTTTTGTAACAATAGGCACCTGCTGCATAGGCTGTGTGTTGAATGTTGTAAGAGTGGATATTCAGGTTATGGCTTTCAATTGAGATACTTGAGTCATGAAAAATGTACATTTTGAAATATATGTGTTTTATGGTAAATGTGTAAAAAGTGAAAGTCTCATTTTGGGCCTAAAAAGTAATTATTTATTTTAGATCAAAAGAAAGCTCTTGAGATTTTAGATGTATTCTGTGTCTGCACTCTTCGAAAGCATTCAAATACACCACCCATTATCACATTTTCATACACTAATCTAAGTTTTAGTACATGTTCGTTTTGCAGAAAATACTATTTTCATTCGACTTTTCCTTTTTTTTTTTTTCAGGACGTGAACATTTCCTGCTTTCTTTAGTAATGGCCGGGGTAATGGTTCTCTGCTGGTAAGGACGTCTGAGAACCTTTTTCAGTTTTAAATTATTGTCATCGTTGTTGTTATTGATATTTTGTTTTTTCTTCTCCTCTCAACAAAGGCTCGTCTTCTCAAACTGTGCATCCGTGTCTCTCAAGTAAGAAAACATGTACCGCAGCTGGTTGAAAACTGTACCGTACAGGTGTGGCTAAGGCTGGGTTAAAGTGAATAGGGGGGTTGCTGCTGCGCTCGATTTCTATTTGTTGTAGTGAACAGGCCGAACTGGTTTTCGACCTCTTCACAGAATTCTGTCTGCGGTCTTCACAATGCCATTGTCTGGCAGGGTCTTTTATTATTGGGTAAAAAGTGTAAGGGTGCTCCTGTGGTGTGATGAATGACGTCTTCCTCTTCCCAATTGGCACCCTATTCCATATGTACTGCACCACGTTACTAAATAGAGGTAGGATGGCATTTGGGACACACGTTTAGTGGTGCTCCTGTGTGGCTCAGTCGGTAGAGCACGGCGCTTGCAAAACCAAGGATTGTGGGATTGATTCTCGGCCACACATATGAAAAATGTATGCATGCATGACTAAATTGCGTTTGGATAAAAACGTGTTTGCTAAATGGCATATATTAATAATAATAATTACATATATAAGACCAGTAGATAATACAAAAATTACTTAACTATGAACTGGATACTCACTCCACTCTGCCTCTCATTTAACTATGAACTGGATACTCGCTCCACTCTGCCTCAGGTGTTTCTACTTGGACAGGTGCTTAGACAGGTATCAAATGTAACAGAGTGATCTCTTACCTCGTTTCTTTCTCATCTGTCAGCCAGGTGCATCACCAGGTTGTGCAGAATCACAGGTGAGCGAGTTCCTGTGGGTACCTGTACAGTACTGGCGTCCAGTGTGGCAGCCCCCCCGCACCTCTCCAAAACCTCTATATGTACACTATATATACAAAAGTATGTGGACACCTCGTTCAAATGAGTGGATTCAGCTATTTCGGGCCACACCCGTTGCTGACAGGTGTATAAAATCGAGCACACAGCCATGCAATCTCCATAGACAAACATTGGCAGTAGAATGGCCTTACTGAAGAGCTCAGTGACTTTCAACGTGGCACTGTCATAGGATGCCACCTTTCCAACAAGTCAGATCGTCAAATTTCTGCCCTGCTAGAGCTGCCCCGGTCAACTGTAAGTGCTGTTATTGTGAAGTGGAAACGTCTAGGAGCAACAACGGCTCAGCCGCAAAGTAGTAGGCCACACAAGCTCACAGAACGGGACCGCAGAGTGCTGAAGCGCGTAAAAATCTGTCCTCGGTTGCAACACTCATTACCGAGTTCCAAACTGCCTCTGGAAGCAAAGTCAGCACAATAAATGTTCGTCGGGAGCTTCATGAATTGGGTTTCCATGGCCGAGAAGCTCCACACAAGCCTAAGATCACCATGCACAATGCCAAGCGTCGGCTGGAGTGGTGTAAAGCTCGACGCCATTGGACTCTGGAGCAGTGGAAACGCGTTCTCTGGAGTGATGAATCACGCTTCACAATCTGGTAGTCTGACGGACAAATCTGGGTTTGGTGGATGCCAGGAGAACGCTACCTGCCCGAATGCATGGTGCCAACTGTAAAGTTTGGTGGAGGAGGAATAATGGTCTGGGGCTGTTTTTCATAGTTGGGGCTAGGCCTCTTAGTTCCAGTGAAGGGAAATCTTAACGCTACAGCATACAATGACATTCTAGACAATTATGTGCTTCCAACTATGTGGCAACAGTTTGGGGAAGGCCCTTTCCTGTTTCAGCATGACAATGCCTGCGTGCACAAAGCGAGGTCCGTACAGAAATGGTTTGCCAAGATCGGTGTGGAAGAACTTGACTGGCCTGCACAGAGCCCTGACCTCAACCCCATCGAACACCTTTGGGATTGGAACGCCGACTGCGAGCCAGGCCTAATCACCCAACATCATTGCCCAACCTCACTAATGCTCTTGTTGCTGAATGGAAGCAAGTCCCCGCAGCAATGTTCCAACATCTAGTGGAAAGCCTTCCCAGAAGAGTGGAGGCTGTTATAGCAGCAAAGGGGGGGACCAACTCCATATTAATGCCCATGATTTTGGAATGAGATGTTCAACGAGCAGGTGTCCACATACATACTAGTGTATGATTGTGCGTTTTTCAGAGGGGTTGGGTTAAAATTGGAAGTCAAATTTTGGTGGACCTTGTGTGCAATTGACCAATAAAGTGATCTCTTATTTTACTATTGATATCTATGTTTTCATTATTTAATCAAACAAGTGTAGCCTGGTCCCAGATCTGTTTGTGCATTCATGCCACTCCTTTTCATTCCAAACATGAAGGAGTGGCATGATGGTCCTAGCCTTGAATAAAAAATATAACATTATCTCAGTGTCAGTCTGTTTCTGCAAAAAGTAAACTTTCTCCCACTGTGTTTCAGATTACAGAGCAAGCAAGCCAATCTTATGGAACCAGTGTAAGTGGCAGCAAATGCAGATGACAGAATTATAATAGAGCTTTATGCTATGATTCTACTCTATACTCTATTATACCATTATGGTAAACACTTTCTATGACGTATAGACCTATAATGCTTTATAGTGCTTTTCATAGCGTTACCACTAATGGCTGTTTTTGCTAATTATCTTGCTGATTAGGTTAAGTGACTTTGGGTGTTTTGAAAAGCGCTGAAAATAAAAAGTTGCATTATTATTATTCAGGAGGACTGAAGTGCTGACTGTTACCCCGTGGCTAAAATAGTTATTCTTCCTCCTTCTTCCTCTTCCTTCTTCCTCTTCCTCTTCCTCCTTCTTCCTCCTCCTCTTCCTCCTTCCTCTTCCTTCCTCTTCCTCCTTCTTCCTCCTTCCTCTTCCTCATTCTTCCTCTTCCTCATTCTTCCTCCTTCTTCCTCCTCCTTCTTCCTCTTCCTCCTCCCTCTTCCTCCTTTTTCTTCCTCCTCCTTCTTCTTTCATCGTTCTTCCTCCTTCCTCTTCCTCCCTACTTCTTCTTCCTCCTTCTTCTTCCTTCTTTCATCGTTCTTCCTTATCCTTCCCCCACCTTCTTCCTCTTCCTCCTTCTTCCTCTTCCTCCTTCTTCCTCCTCCTTCTTCCTCTTCCTCCTTCTTCTTCCTCCTCCTTCTTCCTCTTCCTCCTTCTTCCTCCTCCTCCTTCCTCTTCTTTCTTCTTTCATTGTTCTTCTTCCTCCTCCTTCTTCCCCCTCCTTCTTCTTTCATTCCCTTCTTCCTTATCGTTTCTTTCGTTCATTTCATGTGTTCTTCTTCCTCTTCTTCCTCCTTCCTCTGTCCCTTCCTCCTCCTTCCTCCTTCTTCTCTTCCTCTTCCTTCCTCTTGTCCTTCCTCTTCCTCCTCCTCCTTCCTCTTCCTCTTCCTCCTTCTTCCTCCTCCTTCTCCTTCCTCTTCCTCCTTCCCACTGTGTTTCAGATTACAGAGCAAGCAAGCCAATCTTATGGAACCAGTGTAAGTGGCAGCAAATGCAGATGACAGAATTATAATAGAGCTTTATGCTATGATTCTACTCTATACTCTATTATACCATTATGGTAAACACTTTCTATGATGTATAGACCTATAATGCTTTATAGTGCCTTTTCATAGCGTTACCACTAATGGCTGTTTTTGCTAATTAGGTTAAGTGACTTTGGGTGTTGGGCGCTTCCTCCTCCTTCCTCCTCATCCTCCTTCTTCCTCCTCCTTCTTCTTCCTCCTTCTTCTTCCTCCTCCTCCTTCTTCCTCTTCCTTCTTCTTCCTCCTTCTTCCTCTTCCTCCTCCTCCTTCCTCTTCCTCCTCTTTCTTCCTCTTCCTCCTCCTTCCTCTTCCTCCTCCTCCTCATTCTTCCTCCCCCTTCTCCTTCCTCTTCCTCCTTCCCACTGTGTTTCAGATTACAGAGCAAGCAAGCCAATCTTATGGAACCAGTGTAAGTGGCAGCAAATGCAGATGACAGAATTATAATAGAGCTTTATGCTATGATTCTACTCTATACTCTATTATACCATTATGGTAAACACTTTCTATGACGTATAGACCTATAATGCTTTATAGTGCCTTTTCATAGCGTTACCACTAATGGCTGTTTTTGCTAATTAGGTTAAGTGACTTTGGGTGTTGGGCGCTTCCTCCTTCTTCCTCCTTCTTCTTCCTCCTTCTTCTTCCTTCTTTCATCGTTCTTCCTCCTTCTTCTCCTTCCCCCGCCTTCTTCCTCTTCCTCCTTCTTCCTCCTTCTTCTTCCTCCTTCCTCTTCTTCCTCCTTCTTCTTCCTTCTTCCTCTTCCTTCTTCTTCCTCCTTCTTCCTTATCCTTCTTTCATCCTTCTTCTTCATCCTTCTTCCTCTTCCTCCTCTTTCTTCCTCTTCCTCCTCCTTCTTCTTCTTCCTCCCCCTTCTCCTTCCTCTTCCTCCTTCCCACTGTGTTTCAGATTACAGAGCAAGCAAGCCAATCTTATGGAACCAGTGTAAGTGGCAGCAAATGCAGATGACAGAATTATAATAGAGCTTTATGCTATGATTCTACTCTATACTCTATTATACCATTATGGTAAACACTTTCTATGACGTATAGACCTATAATGCTTTATAGTGCCTTTTCATAGCGTTACCACTAATGGCTGTTTTTGCTAATTATCTTGCTGATTAGGTTAAGTGACTTTGGGTGTTTTGAAAAGCGCTGAAAATAAAAAGTTGCATTATTATTATTCAGGAGGACTGAAGTGCTGACTGTTACCCCGTGGCTAAAATAGTTTTTCTTCCTCCTTCTTCCTCTTCCTCCTCCTTCTTCCTCCTTCTTCCTCTTCCTCCTCCTTCTTCTTCCTCCTCCTTCTCCTTCTTCCTTCTTTCATCGTTCTTCTTCCTCTTCCTTCTTCCTCCTTCTTCCTCTTCTTCCTCCTTCCTCATCCTCCTTCTTCCTTCTTTCATCGTTCTTCTTACTCCTCCTCCTTCCTCCTTCTTCCTTCAGGAGGACTGACGTGCTGACTGTAACCCCGTGGCTGGCTCCTGTAGTCTGGGAAGGGACTTTTGACCCCCAGGTCATAGACGAGGCCTTTATGTCCCAAAACCTCACCATCGCTACCACTGTGTTCGCTGTAGGGAAGTAAGTCACAGACTCCATGTGTAGAAACACCACTTCTGTGTGCATGTGTCTTCTTTTATGCACATTTTAAGGCCTCTCAGGCCCAAAAGAAATGTCTGCATTATTCAAACCCTTATCATGGGGGGACTATTTTTGTGTCTCAACTGGTGTTAAGGATGTCATGCTGCTTGCTTAACGAGTATCGCTTCCCCCTGATTTGGCTCATTATGATGTGGAAAATAATGTATTATTAAAAATCAAAGTTCTTACAGAGTTTTTGTAGAATCGAGAGACTTTATTACAATGGACAAAGCCGGGGTGATTTGCAAAGCATCCTCCCTTCTCTCTTTCTGCCCCCCAGTTATATAGTCCCATTCTCATCCCTTCTAGCTCAAAACCCCTCCCTCTTCAGTTTCCCGCCCTCTATCGCTCCGCCCACTTCCTTTGTCTATGATGGCGGCTAAATTAAACTTTTTATTCAGTTCAGAATCAATAGTAATACAATCAATCACGCCCTTTGTCTTGCAAAAACACTCATGTTTAGTTTAAACCCGGCTCCCCCCGGGCTTGACCTAAAGATTGATTGTGGGACATGACAGGTCCACACTTAATCTTTTAAACATACCCAAAACCCACCCCATCATGCTGTAATCAATCAAGAAGATAGCCAAAGAGAGACAACGGGTTTAGACCTGGGCCCGTATCTCTAAAGAATTTTTGTGCAAAAAGTGGCTCCTAGCGGCCAAATTCTAAGAAAATTCTCAGAGGCATGACGTTTTCTTAGAATTTCCCCTAAAAGTGACACGAAAATCCCAGTTAATATAAAAGCTATTCCTCAAGAGTCCTAGCGCTTAAAAGGGCTCCTAAGGCGAGATCTGCTAAGAGCAGGGAAGATGACTTTTAGTGGCTTAGGAGTTACCCTAAGCAGCTGCACAAAATGGCCAACAGAGGAGGCAGGAGAGATGTCCAGCAAACACTGGATGACAGGGAATTATTGAGACGCTACAGATTGGATCGTGCAGGAATCATGTTTGTGGTGGATCTCCTTAGAGATGCAATTACTTCACCAACTCGACGCCACAACGCTATTACAACCGGAGAAGAAAGTAATCACAACCCTGAGGTATTTGGCAACAGGGAAAATGCAACAATGCAGCAGTGATGACTTGGGTCTGTCCCAATCCTCCGTCAGCAGAGTCATCACCCAAACACTGACAGCTTTGTCACAACCTAATATTGTGACACAATTTGTTTCATTCCCGCTGGATGCCCGCACTTTACACACACATAAAAGGGCATTTATGGACATTGCAGGATTCCCTGGCGTTGTGGGTGTAATTGATGGAACACATGTGAGAATAATTGCGCCATCAGAGGACGAGGCTGTCTTTGTTAACAGGAAGAATTTCCACAGCATCAATGTGCAAATAGTGTTCAATGCGGCCTGGAAGATTTTGGACATTGTGGCTAAATGGCCAGGCTCCACACATGATGCGAGAATGCTCTCCGAGAGTGGCATCAGACAGCTTTTTGAGAGACGCTATGTGCCAGCTAATTGCCACTTGTTAGGGGACAGTGGCTACCCATGCAAACCATGGCTCCTTACACCTTACCTCCAGCCACGCCAAGGGCCCCAACTAAACTATAACAGGTAAGCCAAACAATACAAAAATCATGGAAATGAAATGCAAGCAATATGTTAGAGCATCCAAGTAGTGCAATATTTCCATCAAATAATTAAAGGTCTGTATTCTATTGTAGGGCCCACAAGACAACAAGAGCGGTGGTGGAGCGTGGCATAGGCCAGCTTAAGAGGCGCTTTCATGTTCTCCACGGAGAGGTGCGGCTGAGGCCTGAAAAAGTCAGCAAACTCATCATAGCCTGTGCAATATTACACAATATTTGCAAGGTTAGACAGATTGCAGAACCTCTGGAGGATGGCGATGAGGATGAGGATGGAGACAACGATGAGGATGGTGGTGAAGAAGATATTCACATTCCACAGGGGAACCTAGCCCAGAGTGGACTGCCTTACAGGGCAAACTTCACAAATTTACATTTCAGGCAAGCTGTAGCCCCATGTCATTTGAGAACTTGTGATGGTATTAAGAACTACCACAGTTTTACTGCACATCACCTGCAACTGTTAAATGCAAGACACAGAACACAATCTCTAAATGGTTTATTTTTTAGGTGTTCAATTTTAAGGCGGTAGTACTCCTCCTGAAGGGAAAGGACTTTTTTTTGTTGTTCAAACACATCAATTGTGAGTTGCAATCTTCTCTCCTGCAGGGATGCTGACGGAGCAGGTGCTGCGGATGGGAATGGTGTTTGATCCGCCGGGCTATCCTGAGTAGCAGCTGCAGATGGTTCAGGCGGCAAACTTGATGGGCCCGGTTCTTGTGATGGCTCCATGCTACAGAAATACATAGGCCTAGTTTAATTATTGTTTTGATTAAATTAATTTAATACAATGAGCATGGATAACACATGAAATGGCTTCTGCAATGAATAAACACTGTTGATATGAATAACCCTGTGTCCTACCTTTGCTGCATTTCAAGGGCCTGCATCATTGACGTGTCAATGCCTGTTGGCAGCCCGGTGACACTGACCTCAGAGTGTCCCAGGACTTGAAAGACAGTGTCGGCCACCTGGGACAGCCGCTTTGCAGGTGGTCCACCCCCTAGAAAGAAACAGTCAATGAACACAGTACTTAGGCATGTAAATTAACTTTGCCAGCAGGAGCAAATTGCCAGATTATGTGGTAGGCCATAGTATTTTGCTCACCTGTGAGTGAGGATTCCCGCTTGTGTGCTGCAATCTCATCTTTTGCCTTGGACTGCAGCACATACCACCTTTTCTCACAATCGTCGCCTGTCCGCACCACCAGTGGAAAAGAGGCATTGATTGTTTGGGATATTGTGTCCCAGGCGCGCCTCTTGCCTTGGCTAGTGACAGTTGGGCCAAATTTTCCTCGTAACATACCTTTATGTTCGTTCACCAACTGGGCCAGCAACAAACCTTGCTCCTCAGTCCAGTTCGGCTTGCGATTCCTTTTTTTCTCAATTTTCTGTGTTTGTAGGATATTTGTTAACAAGCCTTCATAAATAGACCAGCCAGCAATCACAGACATTGTTAAAAGCTGAGCTGTGTTACCCTCGTTAAGTTCACACTGAGTTGTAACGTTGCAATTTCTACTTCATTAAGGACAGCCCCTTGAGATAGGCCATCTTGTTTTCAATGGGGTCCATATGGAAGTGAAAGTACAAAATATGCCAGCTAGGATATTAATATGAGCAAATGAGACACAAATCATTATTTGAACAGGGTGTAATGAGCTTAAGTTTTCACATATTTTAGATTCTAATGTTAGGCTATAACCCCTACAGCTTACTATTCATTTTCCAGATATTTTCTTGAATGTGAAATATTATTTACAATTATAGTCTGCATAAGATTAGAGTGTATAATTATGTTTATTGATTTGAGGGTACATCCTTTGCTCATTATCACCAAAAGTTCATTTTCATCAAACTTGTAGGATCAACCAATCACGGCTTTTGAAATGATGACTCATACCTAGCAACGGGGTCAACCACACCTCCTCACTAAAATAGGATTTTTCATCCATTCCTGGCTCAGAGTTCACTGAAAATGTTCTGGAATCACTTCTAAGCTAAAACTCCTGGCAAGGAATTTTTAGGTTAAGTTAGGAGCTCTCTGAGAGGATTCTCAGAATCTTTAAGGATACGGGCCCTGAACTCTGTTCAACCCTGGTTCGCTCCAGGGATCTGCCCAAGGAGAGCCACGGGGTCATAGTCTGGTTGCAATCACAGATGACACAAGACAACTGTAGTATTTGACCCAATGACAGGTCAGATGCCCATTTTACACACACACACACACAAACCTAGTGAGAGGAATTCACTAAGTTCTTGCCTAGCAACAGAGACGTCCGTGATTTAACTTTGTTTAGCACATAGTTCACAAAAAAAATAAAAATAAATCTCCCTCAATGGCGAGGCTCGAACTCAGAACCTCTGCCTCACAAACACACGTGACCCCGCCCCTACTGAAGCGTCTTACTCCGCCGTGCCACTGAAAGCTATCCGGCAGCGCAAGTGGGGAGACTTCAGGCTGAGGAGTGAGTTTCACAGACGACCCGTAATGCTACGCTGGCATCTTGTTCCTGTGTATAGTGAACTACTTAACTCTAACCCACAGGGCACCCATAGGGGCTCTGGTTAAAAGTAGTTGTCTATAATAGGGAGCATACTATAGCTTTATATAAATCCTTTTTGCGTCGTGTTTCCCGATTTAAAAAAAAAAAAAAAAAATGCAATCTCATGTTAACTCAGTCTGTCTTCTCAAACCGTCTTGTCCTGTACCTGAATGTTTTCTTATTTTCTCCAGATCCACGCATGTAATAAATCGACTGTTTTCCTACGTAGATTCACCTCTCATGTTTCCATCCATCGTTGAAGATGTAGTAACTCCAGTTCTGTTCGTTTCACAGACTTACTTGTTTTTCCGTCTCTATCCATCCTTACAGATACACTCGTTTTCTTCGGGACTTCTTAGAGTCCGCTGAGAAGCACTTCATGGTGAGAATCCAGAACTGTCTAGCAAATGGATTGACTGTTTTATAATATAAAGAAGGTCCAGGGATTACTCTTTTAAAAGAAATATAAAGACTACTGTAGGAGTGATTATGCAGGATTAGGTCCACCCCTGCCCGTGTGATCTCATTCATTGGTCCAAATATTTAATGTAATTCAATTTGTTTTAAATCTATTCATTTTTTTCATCCTTTTTTAATTCAATTGAATTCAATTCAAATCGTTAGAAAGTCCGTCCCATTCAATTCAATTCCATGTGATTCCAGTTGGGACTGGACGTACACTACTACGTGTTCACCGACATGCCCGACGACGTGCCCGACAACGTGACTCTGGGTGTCGGCAGACTGCTCAGCATCGTGAGGGTGCCAAAGTTCGACCGCTGGCAGGAGATATCCCTCCGCCGCATGGAGATCATCCAGGTTATTATAAATAATATATTACATCGTTATCACATTGAATCAAATCACATTGAATTAAAGTTTATTTTCATGCACACGGGATACAGCATACTGTACATAGAATATTGAAATACTTACTTACAAGCTCTCCTCTCAGTACAGTAGCTTTAGAAATACTATGGATGATCTACAGATGCTCAAAACTATCAGTTGCAACTCTGTTGATAATAGGAAATGGTTAGGGATAGGTTTAGGGTTAGGTTTAGGGTTAGGGTTAGGTTTAGGGTTAGGTTTAAGGTTAGGTTTAGGGTTAGGGTTAGGTTTAAGGTTAGGTTTAGGGTTAGGGTTAGGTTTAAGGTTAGGTTTAGGGTTAGGTTTAGGGTTAGGTTTAAGGTTAGGTTTAGGGTTAGGGTTAGGGTTAGGGTTAGGTTTAAGGTTTAAGGTTAGGTTTAGGGTTAAGTTAGGGTTACGATGATATGCCTATTGGGTTATTGCATATTAGATAGTTGAAATGTTGTTGACAGTAGACTTTATGGACTTTGTGTATTATTATTAAACCAAATTTCCATCTGAGGACAAAGTTTGATTGATTTGGTTGGTTGATTGAATATCTACTGAACATCCACCAATCTTGTATTTGGGAGCAGACTGCCATTAAGGATTACATCCACCAGGGGGCAAACTACATCTTCTGCCTGGACGTAGACATGAGGTTCCACGGCCGTGTGGGGCCAGAGGCTCTGGGGAGACTGGTGGCCGCCATCCACCCCTGGTAATGCTTACTTACTTAAAGGGCCAGCATCCACTCCTGCTAATTCTTATTTAAAGGGCCAGCATCCACCCCTGGTCATTCTTACTTACTTAAAGGGCAAGCATCCACTCCTGCTAATTCTTACTTACTTAAAGGGCCAGCCTCCACACCTGGTAATTCTTATTTAAAGCACCAGCATCCACCCCTGGTAATACTTACTTAAAAGACCAGCATCCACCCCTGGTAATACCTACTTAAAGGACCAGCATCCATCCCTGGTAATACTTACTTACTTAAAGGGCCAGCCTCCACCCCTGGTAAGTCTTACTTACTTAAAGGGCCAGTATCCACCCCTGGTTATGCTTACTTATTTAAAGGACCAGCATCCACCCCTGGTAATTCTTACTTACTTAAAGGGCCAGTATCCACCCCTGGTTATGCTTACTTATTTAAAGGACCAGCATCCACCCCTGGTAATTCTTACTTACTTAAAGGGCCAGTATCCACCCCTGGTTATGCTTACTTATTTAAAGGACCAGCATCCACCCCTGGTAATTCTTACTTACTTAAAGGGCCAGTATCCACCCCTGGTTATGCTTACTTACTTAAAGGGCCAGTATCCACCCCTGGTTATGCTTACTTATTTAAAGGGCCAGTATCCACCCCTGGTAATTCTTATTTAAAGGGCCAGTATCCACCCCTGGTTATGCTTACTTATTTAAAGCTCTGATGGAGGAAAATGTTGTTGACCACTGTGGTATTGCATGCACCTACATGCTGACTACTTCCTGTTGACCTCTTTCCAGATCTACCTCGCAAAAAGATGATTTCTAACCTCAAGGGTCTTTGTTAAAAAGGTTAAGTAATAATACAAACTGTCTTGTCTTGCAGGTTCTACATGTACCCCCGGAGCCAGTACCCCTACGAGCGGCGGACCGTCTCCAAAGCCTACATACCCCAGGACCAGGGAGACTTCTACTACCAGGCCAACATTTTCGGAGGAGCGCTGGAGGATGTTCACCGGCTGACCAAGACTTGCAGTGAGCACCTGGAGGTAAGCACTCACGCACACAGGCATACAGTTAGTCACTCACATACAGTACTCACTCACCCCTCTCTCTCTCCCTCCCTCTTCCTTCTCCCCCTCCCTCCCCCCCTCCCTCCCTCCCTCCCTCCCTCTTCCTTCTCCCCTACCTCCCTCCCTCCCCTCCCTCCCTCCCTCCCTCTCCTCTTTTCCTTCTCCCCTCCCTCCCTCCTTCCTTCTCCCACCTCCCTCCCTCCTCCCTCCCTCCCTCCCCCTCCCTCCCTCCCTCCCTCTCCTCTCCCCCCTCCCTCCCTCCCTCTTCCTTCTCCCCCTCCCCCTCCTTCTCCCCTCCCTCCCTCCCTCCCTCCCTCCCCTCCCCTCCCTCCCTCCCTCCTCCCCCCTCCCTCCCTCCCTCCCTCCCTCCCTCCCTCCCTCCCTCCCTCCCTCCCTCTCCCTCCCTCCCCTCCCTCCTCCCTCCCTCCCTCTTCCTTCTCCCCTCTCCTTCTCCCCCTCCCTCCCTCCCCTTCCTCCTTCTCCCTCCCCTCTTCCTTCTCCCCCCCCCACCTCCCCCCCCCCCCCCCTCCCTCTAGGTTGATAGGTCAGTGGGTGTGGAGGCTGTGTGGCAGGAGGAGAGTCATCTGAACTGGTACCTGGTGAGGAACAAGCCCACCAAGCTGCTGTCACCTGAGTATGTGTGGGACGACGCTAAAGGACGGGACGCCAAGGAGATAAAACTGGTCCGCTTCTCCTCTGTCATTAAGAACAAGGCAGAGGTCAGGGAGAACCTGTGAGAGAAGAAGAAGAGGAAGAGGAGAGAAAGGATATTTTTTCTTTTTAACACAAGCTGCAGGCAGGAGAGGAGAAAGGTGGGAAGGAGGAGAGGAGAAGAAGAGGAGAAGAGGAGAGAGAGAGAGGAGAAGAAGAAGAGGAGAGAGAGAGAGGAGAAGAAGAAGAGGAGAGAGAGAGAGCACTTATCTTTAACACGGACTGTGTTCCTTTTCTTGGTTGTGGTATACATCTTTGCACACTGCTCTTTTTGTTCAGAGAAATATGACTTTGTTTTTGTTTAGTGTCTTTGTGACACAGACTACGCTCGAAATGACTCCCTATTCACCCCAGAACTCCTGGTTAAAAGTAATGCACTATACAGGGTGGCATTTCAGACGTAGCTATTTTTACTGTATGTACAATGGGGTCCATCATTTTTTTACACCATTTTGATAATTGATGAGAAAAAAAAGACTGTGTATAAAATAAATAATGCAAGCCTATGCTAAAATAAATTGGGTGATTTTATATTATTTTATAATAATACAATTGCTCAGAGAAAGAGATTTTTGTTTAACAATTAATAATGATTTTTAAAGAAAGATATGGGTTAAAATGATTGGAACCTCCTGTTTTCAGTACACCAGCACCCTTGGGAGGGAAAACGGCACTGAGCCTTTGATAAAACGGCGTTAGGGCAAGGTCACACGGTAACAAAGTCACACTCCCACTTTTAAAAAAAACGACAGCCATATCTTTTTCCCGATCAGGGCCAAGTCTTAATGCTATGTATGATTTTCTAGGTAGCTGTTAGTGCTAGAATGGAATACTAAGAATTAATTGTTCAAATATATCTTCCTTGCAAAAAAATCTCTAATTAGTGCTTGGTAACAGAGTCACAGCCAGGTAACATCTTGCATAACATGCAGTTTTTTAGTGATAATCCATTCATGTAACATATCTGATAAATTACATAGTTGACTATATCAACACTATATCAATACTTTTGTTGATTTTCGGTAATGGAGGTACAGGTAACGGCTGTACCACACACCTGATTTACATTAATTAAATCTATGAACAAATCAGTTTGACACATTTATATATTTTAAAGTAATGTCCGATCATTAAACCAAAAAGGATCAATGCGTCTAATGTACTTACTGTACAAAAAAAAGGGGAAAACTTGCAACAGTCATGGTTGATGTTGTACAAAGTAACACCATGTTTAAACCATCAGAACTTTTGATAGGATCCAGTTAAACATTAGGAAGTGTACTCAAAAAACTATAAAAAAGCAATTTCTCATTGTGTATATAGCATCATGTGACTCTGCGAATTACGTGTTTGTTATGTACAGTAGACGCTAACCATGGCATGACCTTCACCTTTGGCACTTGGATTAGAACCGGTACTATGGTCAGATGACATGAAAATATAGCCGCAGCATATCTGCCTTAGGCTGCATTTTATGTAAATAATACATTTTTGAGCCATTTTCATAGGAAGTATTTCAGAAGGTAAACGTGTGTGATGATAATGTCCTGGCCTTGGGCAGTTTCCCAATCCTGGGGAGAACTAAGGGGTGAACATTTTAGTTATTTCCCCAGCACTGACACACTTGATTCAGCTAATCTACTCATCAAGTCTTTGCTTTAGTGGAATCGGGTGTGTTAGGTGTGTTAGGACATTTTTAGTTTTTGCCCTAGCACTATACAACTGATTCAAATGATCAAAGCTTGATGATGAGATTTATTATTTTAATCAGCTGTGTAGTGCTAGGGCAAAAAAACTAAAACGTGCACCCCTCGAGGTCCCCAGGATTGAGTTGGGGGAAGCTACTTTAAGAAATCAAGTTTACCAAGCTACCAATTACTTCACACTGGAAGAAGTAAAGCTACACTAAAGCTACCTTTAAGAAAAATACAGTTTTACTAAAGTTACTTTGAAAAAGTACTTAACTACATCCAAACTACTTCATGATAAATTATCATATCAAAAACTGAAATGTCAGAGTACAAATTGCAGTCCGATGTTAACAGAATGTGTAATTTAACCTATTAAACACACAAGCTATGTTTCAAGTGAGAATTAGGCAGGTCTGATGCCGATTTAAAGAAAGGACATTCTGGCCTACTTCCCCCATATTTTATCATATTTGAGACAATCTCCATTTTGAAGTAGTACATTTTCTTCTTCTACCAGTTCTATGAGTTGGCAAACAAACTGAGAGGGGGCACACTGCCACCTGGAGGGTGTTGTCTGAACATATATGAAGCCATGGTTGACTATTTACTGCCGTCTGCAGTTATGGAATGTTTGCTCACAAGTATAATTCATTGGCTGATCCCTCCTGATGACCCGGATGGAATCATGTGATACTTCCTTAAACCCACAGGAAGTCCCACCCAGTTGACTACTTAAAAATTATGAAAGTTCTCAACGGCGCTGCCCTATGCCTAAAACGGGCTTCCGGGCACTAGAGTCCTCTATATTTATCTCTATGGTTCACAGGGAGAGGGAGATGATTGCTCACTAGTGGCTGAACACAGTCGTTTGTATACGTGAACGTTTAGGTTGTTTATGGGTTGCATATCTAATAGGTGTTATGGGTGAAGTCACCCACGTGAAACCAACGTTTTAACCATTATGCCAAGAAGGAATTCCCTCTTAGTCTGAGGGTCGCAGGCAGGGCTACCTCATCACATGAGCGTGAGTTGGACTCACCTCCGTTTATATAGGCCTAATCGAGTTAAATACATGAAGATCACAATTCTATTCTAAATGTGTTACAGGCCTGTACACCTGTCCTTTCACAGTGTAAGTCCTGGAAAAGTATTAGTGATCTTAGGGCAGTATTAGTGATCTTTCATTTCCCCCCTCGAATCAAGGACTGATTTAGACCTGGGACACCCAGGTGGGTGCAATTAATTATTAGGTAGAACAGAAAACCAACAGTGCGCCGGACCTCCAGGCTCTTGAATACCCCTGCCTTATGGTTTTCTCCAAGTAAAACTCACACACACACACACACACACACACACACACACATCATGTGAGTGGAACTCGCCCATCCTGTGAAAAGAAGTATGACACAATGAACTCAGTGGAATGTTCAGCCACATCTGGCTCACTTGTATTCATTTTTTTATAATAACAGTACATTACTGTATGTTTATTGAAAGTTTATTTCTAACGCTCAATGCCTATGAAACCCTGGATCTAAAGCGTATGAGGCTAACAAGCTAACCACCACACTACAGAAACAACATGTCCTGCAACAGAGACTCACTAGCTACTAGATTAGTAACTTACAGATTTTCATTATTACAGAGTGGTAAAGCAACAACAGCAAAGAAAAGCAGGGAGATATATTTTCCCTAAAGACCAATACAGATCCTGGAGTGTGGCTGACGGATAAAATGAATGTCAGCCAGATCCAGGTCACTCCCAGACGACCTGTCCTTTTCTCGAGTGCCGAGAGATGCTTCGGAGATCCAGTCCTCCTGTTGTGTGGCCACAGCTTCTGTAAAACCCGTCTAGAGAGAAGCTGGGAAGAGAAGGAATCTCCTGGGTATCCACTTTGTAAGCAAATATCTTTAATGGAGCCTCCACTTTACTTGGCTTTGAGGAATCTGTGTGAAGCCTTCCTACAGGATAGAGAACAGTCATCTTCAGACTCCCCTTGCCCCAGCAGAGCCTGAGGTGATCTTCAGTCTGCATGGAGAGAAACTCAAGCTCTTTTGTCTAGAGGATTTGCAACCCATCTGTTTGGTGTGTCAAACTCCAACTAGCACACCGATCACTTGCTTCTGGTGCCTGTATACTTTGTATTTAGAAACAGAAAAAAACGAATGTTTTTCCCCCATTTCATTTTATTTGGTTTAAAAAACCAACCGTAGCCTCCCGTCCTCTCTATTTAAGCCTTTTCTTTTTGTCCTGCCCAATGCAATCGCGAAGTAGTCAAGACTGTCGATAAAGGGTTTGGCTCCCGAAAACCGCTTGGAAATACATTTTAGCTGGGCGGCAGGTAGCTTAGTGGTTAAGCGCGTTGTGCCAGTAACGGAAAGATCGCTGGTTCTAATCCCCGAGCCGACTAGGTGGAAAATCTGTCTGTTCCCTTGAGCAAGGCACTTAACCCTAATTGCTCCTGTAAGTCGCTCTGGACAAGAGCGTCTGCTAAATGACAAAAATGTAATGTGAAATGTAATCACCAAAGCTTTATTAAAATATGTAAAACAGTGAGCTGACGTTCCCTTTTTATCTATGTAGTGTAGACAGGCCCACACTATGCTAGCCAATCAGGTCTCGTTTTGTACGTGCGTAAAACCCCCTCCATGATGTAGGCTACGTGTCCATCATGATAGGAGAGATGAGAACCTTGGTGAATACCGGTGAACCTTGTATTTAGAAGTTATTTGTAACCTGTAACAACTGCTAGTTTTTTCATTTCATATGTTCAAAACCCATTTTACATGTATTTATTGTTGTTGTAAAAAAAAAAAAAGTATTGCTTGTTTTTCGTTTTCGTTTTATTACAACCAATCTTATTATACTGAACAAAAATATAGACGCAACAGTTCATATAAGGAAATCAGTCAATTGAAATAAATAAATTAGGTCCTAATCTATGGATTTCACATGACTGGGCAGGGGAGCAGCCATGGGTGGGCCTGGGAGGCCAGGCCCAGCCAATCAGAATTAGTTTTTCCCCACAAAAGGTATTTATTACAGAAATAAATACTCCTCAGTTTCATCAGCTGTCCGGGTGGCTGGTCTCAGACAATCCCGCAGGTGATGTGAAGCCAGATGTGGAGGTCCTGGGCTGGCGTGGTTACACGTGGTCTGCGGTTGTGAGGCTGGTTGGACATACTGCCAGATTCTCTAAAATGATGCTGGAGGCGGCTTATGGTAGAGAAATTAACATTAAATTCTCTGGCAACAGCTCTGGTGGACATTCCTGCAGTCAGCATGCCAATTGCACGCTCCCTCAAAATTTGAGACATCTGTGGCATTGTGTTGTGTGATAAAACTGCACATTTTAGAGTGGCCTTTTATTGTCCACAGCACAAGGTGCACCTGTGTAATGATCATGCTGTTTAATCAGCTTCTTGATATGCCACACCTGTCAGGTGGGTGGATTATCTTGGCAAAGGAGAAATGTTCACTAACAGGGATGCAAACTAATTTCTGCACAGAATTGGAAAGAAATAAGCTTTTTGTGCGTATGGAACATTTCTGGGATCTTTTATTTCAGCTCATGAAACATGGGACCAATACTTTACCCTTTACATGTTGCGTTTTATATTTTTGTTCAGTATAGAATAATTCACCTTCCTGGTTTTATGGCTACAACGTCCGTGGCGCGCATGCAACGCAACTTCTGGAGAGGTGTGAATGCGATCTGATCTGTAAGATGGTTCTGATTATGTTCATGAAACACAGGCCTATTTGGGAGCAGTAGAACGGTGAGTGGACATTCTCCCTTTCTCTTTATACTGGATCTTTGTCCAGCAACTGTGAAAAGTTTGGATGTGTGTAAATCCCTCTATAGTCTGCGTTGTTTTAACATTATATGGCCACAGGGAAAAATGATGGTGCCTGTAATTGTGACATTAGCCTATTTTAAAACAAGTTGTTGTTTTGATTAGAATGTAATCTTGCTTATTGACAATGTTTGGCATGTCCATGCTCAACCATAATGCAATTTACAGTAGGCCTAGCCCCTATATCAGTGGGAATGCTTTTGAAGCCGTGCAATTACTTAGAACAAAGTGGAATGCAAACGAGTTCAAGTTAACGTATTTGCAAAGATAGGTCTACATTTTATTTCATTTCTGTAAGCCATTTAACAAACCTATAACGGACTAACATAATAATAAGAAAATGTATGCACTCACTAACTGTAAGTCGCTCTGGATAAGAGCGTCTGCTAAATGACTAAAATGTAGAAATAAAATGTAACATTGGAATTGGAGTTGATTCCAAGGCATAAAAGACCGTAAAATACACAACTTCAAGCAACCACATATTTCGCCATTGGAGCACGTTCTGATTGGCCAGTGAGGGGCCAAGCCTCGACACACCCACAACTTGTTTATTCATCAAAACCCTTCGGCTCTAACAACAGCAATTGTGCCGATTAATTGTGAAAACAGCAAAAAATATTTCTGACACACCCCTGAACCTTTAACGCTACCGCCTGAGCTTAGATTTACCGTCGCGTTAAAATAATGTTTTCAAACACAGAATCCTATAATACGTTTTGTTTAAGTCCAGGATAAATTCAACTCTGCACAGCAGGTCTTACAGGAGAACCTGAATGCCTTTAGTGAAGGCATAGTCACTAGTGACAGCAGAACATAGTAAGAAAGCTGAGTGATCCATGGAGGACCAGAGCTGCCAGAGTTACACACAGAAAGGAAGATTAAGGAGAAGTTTGAGAAGCTTCACCAGTTTCTATGAGAGGAAGAGGCGGCCAGGATAGCTGCCCCGAGGGAAGAAGAGAAGCAACAGAGTCAGATGATGAAGAGGAGGAATGGGGAGATGACCAGAGAGATATCATCATTTTGTAGAATGTATTGAAGCCATAGATGAGAAGCAGAGAGCTGAAGACAAAGAATTCCTGCAGGTAGGAACTCTCCAATTTAGGAAGATATTATTGATAGCTTGTATCAGCAAAACTGCTGATATTCCACATAATCATTACGTTACTACTTGTAGTATTCCTCAAACCACTGTTGAAATCTTTCTGTGACTCTAGCTAGAAAGGATAAAAATATTTCCCAGCTTATTAATTCATATTTGATGGATTGGTTGTTCGTCTTTTGAGATTCTAGTCATGAAACCTATGCAGCCTACTCAGTCACTTTTTATAGCTACTGTTTACTCCTGTTTACTGTTTACTCCTGTTTACTGTTTACCTCCTGGGCCGTATACAGCCTTCCTCACAGAGTTCCCTGAATTCCTATCGGACCTCGTAGTCATGGCAGATAATATAAAAAAATTTGGTGACTTCAATATTCACATGGAGAAGTCCACAGACTCACTCCAAAAGGCTTTTGGAGCCATCATCGACTCAATGGGTTGTCCAACATGTCTTGGGACCTACGCATTGACACAATCATACCCTGTATCTAGTTATTGTCCCGTGAAAATATATCGTGGATCTAAATGTTTTTCCTCATAATCCTGGACTATCGGACAACCATCTTATTACGTATGCAATCTCAACAAACTATTTGCTCAGACCCCAACCAAGGATTATCAAAAGCTACGATATAAACTCTAGGATAACGTAAAGATTACTAGATGCCATTCCAGACTCCCTCCACCTACCCAAGGGCGTTGGTGTACACAAATCAGTTAACCACCTAACTGAAGAAACCTAACCTTGCGTAATACCCTAGATGCAGTTAGACCGCTAAAAACAACAAAAGAAAAGGTCACAAGAAACTAGCTCCCTGGTATACAGAAAATACCCGAGCCCTGAAACAAGCTTCCAGAAAAATTGGAACGGAAATGGCGCTCCACCAAATTGGAAGTCTTCCAACTAGCTTGGAAAGTGAGTACCGTGCAATATCGAAAAGCCCTGACTGCTGTATTTTTGATACTGTTGCAAAGCTAACTATAAAGCAGGATTCCACAAGTGAGGATGGCATTCACTTCAGCAGTGATGAATTCATGAACTTCTTCGCTGAAAAGATTATGATCATTAAGCAAACTAAGGTCTCCTCTTTGAACATGCGTATTTCTCCAAAACTCAGTTGTCCTGAGTCTGCACAGAACTGCCAGGACCTCGGAGACGCTCAAGTTTTTTTTATCCTGTATCTCTCGACACATTCACGAAAAAATTAATGGCCTCTAAACTTTCCAGCTGCCTACTGCACCCTATTCCAACTACACTACTGAAAGAGCTACTTCCTGTGCTTGGCCCTTCTATGTGTGAACATAATAAACGGCTACCTATCCTCCGGATGTCTACCAAACTCACTAAAAATGGTAGTAATAAAGCCTCTCCTGAAAAAGCCAAACCTTGACCCGGAATGTAAAAAATAACGGCCGATATATCGACTCTGCCATTCCTCTCAGACATTTTTGAAAAAGATGTTGCTCAGTAACTCACTGCCTTCCTGAAGACAAATAATGTATACGAAACGTTCCAGTCTGGTTTTATACCCCATAATACCGCTGAGACTGCACTCGTGAAGGTGGTAAATTAACTTTTAATGGCGTCAGACCAAGGCTCTGCGTCTGTCCTCGTGCTCCTAGTCCTTAGTGCTGCTTTTGACATCATCGATCGCTACATTCTTTTGGAGAGATTGGAAACCCTAATTTGTCTACGTGGACAAGTTCTTCAGTTAGTCTCTGTGGATGGTTTGTCCTCTGACAAATCAATGGTAATCTTCGGTGTTCCTCAAGGTTCCGTTTTAGGACCACTATTGTTTTCACTATATATTCTACCTCTTGATGATGTCATTCAGAAACACAATGTCAACTTTCACTGCTATGCGGACGACACACAGCTGTACATTTCGACGAAACATGGTGAAGCCCCAAAATTGCCCACCCTGGAAGCCTGTGTTTTCAGACATAAGGAAGTGGATGGTGGCAAATGTTCTACTTTTAAACTCGGACAAAACAGAGATGCTAGTTCTAGGTTCCAAGAAACAAAGACATCTGCTGTTTGATCTGACAATGTTGATGGTTGTACAGTTGTCTCAAATAAAACTGTGAAGAACCTGAGCGTTACTCTGGTCCCTGATCTCTCTTTTGACAAACATATCACAAATATTTCAAGAGCAACTATTTTCATCTTCGTAACATTGCAGAAATCTGAAACTTTTTGTCCAAAAATGATCCAGAAGAGCTGTTCCTTGCTTTGGGACTACCTGGCCTGGCTGTCCCTGTCCCCAGTCCACCTGGTCGTGCTGCTGATCCAGTTTCTGCTGTTCTGCCTGCAGCTATGGAATCCTGTCCTGTTCACCGGACGTGCTACCTTGTCCCGGACCTGCTGTTTCGACTCTCTCTCTCTCTCAATTCAATTCAATGGGTCTTTATTGGCATGGGAAAACACCTGCTTTCTCGACCTATGAATGCTCGGCTATAAAAAGCCAACTGAGTTTTACTCCTGAGGTGCTGACCTGTTGCACCCTCTAACCTTATCTATGAACGTTTGAACATCTTGAAGAACGATCTGGCCTTAATGGCCATGTGTACTCTTATAATATCCACCCGGCTCATCCAGAAGAGGACTGGCCACCCTTCAGAGCCTGGTTCCTCTTTAGGTTTCTTCCTAGGTTCCTGCCTTTCTAGGGAGTTTTTCCTAACCACCGTGCCTTCTACATCTGCATTGCTTGTTGTTTGGGGTTTTACGGTGGGTTTCTGTATAAGCACTTTGTGACATCTGCTGATGGTTCACCTCTCCTAGGCAATCAGCAATTAGTGTTAGTTCATAGGTATTGTGTACATTTAAAACTTGCCCAAGACACTTCACAGACTTGTCAATTGAAAGAGATGTAGCCAATTTATTCATTACTACATTTAGCCAGAGGTTCTTACTTTTACCTCGATTTGGCATTCTCGTCCAGATCAACATGGCATTTGTAGTTCTTTATGATAGCCACATTAGCAGCTAATTAGCATTTCATTTGTTGGGGGTAAATACAGGCATACATAGAGAGATTTACATGGTTATCAAAACGTCATGCCAGGGTAAGCCTTCACGAAGCACAGCCCTTATTTTAAGTGTTTCTAAAAATCCCCTATGGGAAAAATAAATGGTGGGAAAACGATTTGGAACCATTTCCCTGTTTTGACCGCTACACTGAAAACCAGTGTAGAGACACAGCTGCTTCCTGACAACCCAGAGAGATCTCTATCAATGGGTCCTTTTGAGGGTTTTAAACTCTGGGAAGTTGAAGTTGGGGACTGTACAATCTGGTAATTTGGTGTCACAACAGTCTGTTAAGGGGAAAGGTACACTTGATGAATGGTGTTCAACACTTAATAAGGGAAAATAATTGCACGCTCTTCAACAGAGCCATCCGCGCTACTCACATTGAGAGGACAACCCTCAAAGATCAGAGTGGAACTGAACTGGGACAGAGGAAAGGTGTCATTTCTCTGATTTCATCTGCACAAGTTTAAACACTTTACTCAGTCTTTCCATATCATAGTAGTGGTTTGAAGATTTAGCCAAAGATGGTCTATATAACAGAGTTAACACTGGTACTGCCTTTGTCCTAAACATGGGTCAAATCCAGTGTTACATGATGAGATGTCAACGATTGTTTTCCTCGTGTCATGAATAATTGATTGATCATAGACATATGAAACCAACTTTACTGGTGGGGAAAGTTCATAAGCTATATACCATAAATGACCTTTGACCTCGCTTGCTTGGCTTAATTATCAGAGGCTTTATTTGACAGAATAAATCAACTGTCTTAAATACATGCCATATCTACTTATTTGCTACATGGACAGACTAATTTACTGCTATATTGAAGCATGTTTACTTGCCAACGACTCAGTTGAAATGATACAATTCCCTGCATTTGTTTTAGCAGTAAGATTGTAGCTAGTTACTTTCAAATACATTTAATGAACATCACAATGAATTGATTCAGAAGTTAAGTCAACACTTAATTTTTCTGATGCAGCAGGAATCATTTAGTCGCTTGTCAGTACACTTGTAAACAATATTATAAAATACATTTTATATCAAACCCCATTATAAAAATATGTACAACAGCTAGCGATATCTATACCACAATGCAGTTGAGCATACTAGGCATTCTATATTATACTATAACATCAGTCTAACTGAATATGGATGTTGTGTTGGTTGAATGTTCCTCAACTAGTGAACCTCGTGTTGGGCAACGGCAGCTGGTCTGACAGAACTTACATTTTACATTTACATTTTAGTCATTTAGCAGACGCTCTTATCCAGAGCAACTTACAGTTAGTGAGTGCATACATTTAAAAAAAAAATTGTATACTGAACTTCAAGAGCGCCATGACCTTGAACCATAGACTATACGTGTTGGCTCTTGCCAGCCCCGTGCAGTCTTTTCCACTTCCGAGTCAGATGATCTTGAGCTTGTTCCCAGCTGAAAGCTTTCATCCAATGGTACTACAGGATCTGTCCTACTAAGGCTGGTGTCAAAGGTCATCAGCAGGATTAGTCTGTAGAACACACAGTAGTCAGTGATTAGCCAACATTTCACTACTTTGTCCCCATCAATACACACTGTGTAATGATGTCATAGTATTGTGTGGACCAGGTTAGAGTTAGTAGATAAGTGGCTTGGTGCCACAGAGTCTGCATTCCGTTATGTCAAAGGAGATTACTGATGTTTATGATAGCATGATTGATGGACAGGATATACTGACTTGGGGCAAAGGGTAATAACATCAGAGAAAGAGAGTGCCCGTGGAGGTTTACCAGATGTATGTGAAGGAAATGGTAACCGAGGGTATATAAGGGAGAGTGGATATTTGTTAGAGTCAGTTCGAAGTAGCAAGAGGCAAAGCTCTGTCCTTGTTGTATCGAACCTGGCACCGACCT